CATCCTGGGACTTTTAGGGGTCAACTAGTGACTTGTTGCTCAACATCAGAGTTCCTACTTGGGCAGACTGGAGATTGATCTCGTTACCTCCAGTGCCTACGTTGAACTCTACATGCAAAATAGGTAAGATAAATTATTTCCTTTCTTCTTGGTTTACATCGAGGTTTCTTGGTTTATTCAGGTAAAAGGCTTCACAGCAAGTTGCAGTTGGCTTGTGGTATGGGGAAATTTGTACCTACATCTGTGTGATATAGTATCCTATGTTGCCCGATCCTATGTTACTCTTTTGTTGTGAGCATGAAATTGGAAGAACCACATAGGATAGTTTTCCTTTATGCTTATCTTATCTTATGTGGAAGACATCAAGTTGTTGTTGGTTTTGGGGAAATAAGTGAGAAGGAAGTGATTTCCTGCCAAGCTGTGAGGAGGAGCAGGTGCCCCTCAGGTGTTTGGATGGGTGATTAGGGGCTTGACTCTCTGCAGGAAGTTAAAAGGCTGGAGTTAAAATACTGGATGTTGAATCATAGCACTCTGAGACTGGTTGGTATAATCCTTCTTTCAACACGGTTTCCAGTATGATTTTAGGAAGAGAAAGCTCTCTCTGTGAAGTTTCTGAGGTTTCTTGCACTATGTTCAGAGTACTTTGATAACCAGATCCTGTCTCTGCAGCTGCATCAACATGTAGACCTGAGTATCTGGTACAGTGTGAACTGTGGTGATCAATGAGATTGTTCATCTCTGTAGTCTTCTCAGCGCTGACCACAACACATGGAGCAGCATCCTGGAGGTAATAGATGTCAATAACTGGATGTTGCACATCTTTATTTGCGTTCCAATGACACAAGTGTCCTTGCAGATAAATCATAAAGCAAACTAACCAAATCTAAATCTGATGTGGATGCTGCAGAGGATACGCTAATATTGTTCTTTGTCCCTACAATAACCTGGACTGAAGGCAGCAGTCATAATGAGAGACAGCACAGAATATAGCGTAAGAGCTGCCGTTTAATTGTCCAGCATTATCAAATTCCATAACTAGTAATCTTTAAAGGTATACCTTAGTTTTAGTGTATGCCCATGAAAATATCTTACAGGGATTTTTCTTGCTTCCTCTCTCGTGTTTGAGAGGGGATTTATATGGTGTTTTAGAAGCACAGTAACTATATAATCCATTTCCTATCTGACTCCCACTTTCCAAATAGGAAAAGATAAGCAATATGGGGTGTGCTGTCAAAACATGGATTTCTTTTTATTTATTATTTGACTTCTATCCATGATAGTGGTTTTGGGTGCTACTTCTGACTCTGCAAGCAAAATTTTCCAGCTCGTGTGGTCCCTTCTCTGTTATTTCAGTAAACATATAAGAAACTGTATCTGCAGAGTCCTGCACATGAAGGTAGAAAGTTTTCTACGTCAAAAGAAATGGAACAACCCATTAGAAATATGCTTCGTGTTCCTAATTTGCTAACTTTAAGCACACGCTTGAGTTCATACACTTCCATTTGGCTGGGGTCTGTGCTGTGCCTGTGCCTGATAGCGCGGGATCCGCCAAGGATAACACAGCACTGCAGCCAGCGAGCGGAGCGGCACCTGCGTCTGACTTGGTCTGGAGAAACTTCTGCAAAATTGCTTTCAGAGATTTGGCTGCTAAACTGGTCAGGTTACTGTGGAGATCATTACGACTCCATGGAAAACTTGTAGTTGTTGAGGAGAACTTTTATGAAAAACATCTACATGGGTGGATTCAGGTGACTGGAACATCTAAACCCCTAGGCCTTTCACACCAAATGAAGAAATAATACTTCTCAACAGGGACTGATATTCTCCTTATGCTTTCTTTTGTGTGCTTGTCTTTGGAGGGAGTTACAGAGCTGAGATTTGCTTTAGCTACATGAGGGAAAGAAATAGTTCTTTTAGTCAGATGATACAAAGATCTAAGCTGTAAGGGTGTGATTCTGGTCAGAATAATAACCTTTTGCTTTAGAAGTGTAACCAAGTGTATACTTGTTGAAAACAAGTAATTAACTTCGTTTTCTGCAAGGGCCGTTGGGAACTAGCCCAGATTCCTGGGAAGGACTGACGGGGGTTTTCTTCTTTTGTTAACTGGGAGAGGTTTCCCATCTTCCTTACCGCATCCAGGCAACCTGTTCTAGCCTGCTTCAAAAACCTGGGCCAGACTTGAAAAGACGTCAGCTAGAGGCGTTTTATAAGCTGGGCAGACCTGGTCAAGCCTGGGTGTAATTGCTGAGGTGAATCACTTTTGTCTGTTCTTAATTTAAGAAGCACATTTCTTTCCTTTTAATTTCTAATGAAAGCAATGGATATCAAGCCTTATGATTCTAATGAGTCATATGGATAGTAAGAGGTTCAAGTTCACATTTTCATTTAAAAATATGTATGTGTTTGCCCATATGTATCCTTTAGATCATCCAGATTATTCTTCGTGTGAGACTTTCCTGTGTTATTGAGTCTTCAAGGAATAGCATTGATAGTAAATGAATAATATAAAGAATATTACACATCGTAGATGATGTTTAAAAAGTAGATTTTGACAAGAACAGTAGAGGTGGAGTAGACTTTCTGGCATTCAAACATATACTGAAAATAGAGAATATCTAATTTAAAGTAGAGCATAGAAACAAATTTCTATTCATGACAACAAATGCTGGACATATTCCAGAAATATGTTTAGGCTTTTAGAAAATTAAGCTTGAGATACATGGGAACTTTTCACTGTTTTGTAATTTTTATCTATCACTGTATGAAGCTCTGAGCTGGAGACTTAGCTTCTTGTTAGAGGCAAACAAAATGAAAGGAATCATTTAAGATGTTCTTAGGGAAGGAAGCTGGATGTACTCCATCTCTAAAATGAAATTCTGCCTCTGCGCGTAATCTTTTTTTTCTTTGTTTTCTTTTTTTTTTAAGTCCTTGCAAAAAGTCTTATTTGAGCAGGGGAGGGAAGGACAAATGTAGTTCATACTTTTGACAGGAAAGATTTGATAATCCTTTTGTAAAGAAGTATGGCATTTCTGTTACGAAGTGGTTGCAAAAACCAGGATATGCAGTATTTATTTTTATTTTCTAAATACCTACAGTAAGACACTTAAAATGTAAACAATTCTGTGAGCCTGTTTATAAGGCCTGACGTTACTTTTGTTTTGCTTAACCAAATGTCCGAAACACTGCCAGCAGTATGTCTGGAATGTTACTTGGTCTATTTCTGAAGTTTTTCTTTGTAGCACTGTACGCATGCCACAGTTAGGGGTAATTTACTTAAAAATGACCAAAGTAGTACCCCCCAAAGCTGCAGTTATTGTTCTCAACAGGGGCTGTATAATAAAAGGCAGCAGCTCATCGTATTTTGCAGCTTCTGTGCTCACACTTTTTTCTATCTCTCTCCACCTCTCTCCCTCTTTTCCTCCCTTCTTTTTTGTAAGCAGAATTGCTTTTGGCAAAGGTTTGGAAAGCTGGTGTTTGTTCATGCTTTGTTCTTAGTGACTCGATTCCTCTATAAGTGCTTGTAATTTCATTCCTTACATTATGTCTTAGGTCGCCAACTGCTTGAAATGCATAAAGTTGCTTTGTGGGATTGTTACTAGTATTTTACGAGGGTGATGGAGCATGTTTTCCCTATCCAAGCCCATATATTTCTTGATCTCGGTTCCAGACATCCAATGAGTTTGAGGAGAGCTGTGGGCGTTTCAACATTTCCAGCGGAAGGGTAGGGCGGGTGGGGAAGCTCTCAGGAACGCGGACGACTAATACTTGGTTCTTGGAAACGTCTTAAGGCCAAGTGCTCCCCTCCCACGCAACGAAAGCTAGACTCAGTGCTAAGGACCTGTGCTCTCTAAGGTGTTACCTGAATTTCTTAATTTCTTAAGGTATTACCTTAGTTTTCTTTGCCTTCTACCTGGCTAGAGTTGAGAAAAGAGCTGAAATGCAGATTACAGAGGCCCAAGGTTAATGCGGGAACACTCTGCAGATCATCTGTGCCCTTTGGAGTCCCACCTCGGGCACCCTTTGACCCCTTGTTATTGGTCCTGGAGGGCCTAATCCTGCTATTCCTCTCACTTAAAGGTACTTAATCTCAGAAATTATTTAACTGCTGGGGTGTTAATGTATAATTGGTATAAAAACAGCATGAATTACCTTACAGCACAACGTGAGTTTGGAACTGCAGTGACTTGCAATTCAATGCAACTATACATAGCAGGGTTTTTTCCATTCATATTCTTGCTGCATTTAACTTGTATTTTAATGCATATTTGGATGAATTGAGAGGAGAGCAGAGGGAAAGTGGACAAAGATTAGGTTGTTCTTGCATATGCTGAAATGTAGACATTTATGGGGTCTCTAGCTTTTCTTTTTTTCTTTCTTTTTTTTTTTTTTTTTTTTTTTTTTTTTTTTTTTTTTTTTTTTTTTTTTTTTTTTNTGTTCTCCTTTCTCTACATCTGCCGAAATGATTCCCTGTTATCCTCAGGTGGTAACTTTTTTTTAGTTCATTATAAGTTGTAACGAGTGCATCCCCTTTACTATGCACGGGCTTTGTAGCTTTTGGACAGTAATTTGTTTTCTTTATAAAACGCTTCTGCTGTATTTGTTTCCAGCTTTGATCATTTAACTGATAAATGCCTGCTGCCTGTATTCGCACCTGCTCGTCTTTTATTATCTTGTCTTAAATATAAAAACTTCTATTGAAATAAATCAGACTTGTAATTTGAAAAATAGAAAACTTCTGGCTTAAGTTACTTCTTACAGGTAATAGCAGCTTGACAATTGAATACGAAGCAACTGCTTGGCAGAGTTTTAATCTCTGCCCACCAGCAATAAAGTGCAACCTAATTCCTGAAAATGTCTGAGCTGTAAAGTCTCTGTGACGATGCAGCGTGCAAAGAGCAATAACAGGCTGACAAGGCTAATGAAGTCTATGTATTACTGAGGCCATGCGTTGCTGTTGTGACGGATCTGTAACGCAGCTGTCCTTCATTGGTGTTGTGCAGCCCCCATATCATCTTCCTGTCGCAGAGCGTGTTACCTGGAGGGCGACATCTCTGCGGAGCGCGTCTGTGTCACGAAATTGCTCATGCCTGGTTTGGACTGGCTATTGGTGCTCGAGACTGGACCGAGGAGTGGATAAGTGAAGGGTTTGCCACTTACTTAGAAGATGTATTTTGGGCCAGGGCTCAACAGGTAAGGAGACAATACCTCACTTCTCTATTAAGTCACATACTTAATCAAAATAATATATAATTCTGTTAGTTTTAAACTATTCCTCCTGTGTTATGAAGCAAGTCTTTCAAAATGGCTCTGGAATTTGCATGTTAACTTGGTTCAGAAAAACAAAAACAAAGCAAAATAAAAGAACTCCCTACTCCCTTATCGGTATGTAATGAATGCCCATCTTTACAAGGTAAAAGTTGGTGCAAGTAAGAATGGATGCATCTGTTTGTCAATGATTACCTTCCTCAAAAAAATGTACTTTTCAAATATTGCCCTTAAGCTATCAGGCAGCTTTTTGGCATTCATTCCATTTGTATTGTACTTCTGAACCTGAAATAATCAGCAGTGGCTTACTGAATAATGTAGTGCTCGGGCACACTGATGAAAATAGCATCTGTTTGCCCCACGAATAGCCAAGAGGCATGCCTGGGAACAGAATGGCTGCTGATGAACGGAGCACAAACACTGGCACTTTTTTTACATACTGCCTAGAAAAAGAATCACACGCTTAGAAATAAATCATAGCCCATCTTAAAGTGTAAACCTCATAGGCTACCTGTTTGGTAGTGAAGAGGTTTTCTGACGTGTTTCTTTTTTTTTTGTCACCTCTCCTACTTGAAGCATTCTGCGTGTTCGTTTCCTCCTGTAGCTGTGTCAGGCCCCGATTCCCTTCTCCTGTCCTATAGGGCACCATGTAAGTCATCAGGGCTCCTTGTGTGCGGGAGCAAGGGGCGCTAGGACCAGCTGCCTACATACATTCTTCTCTGTTTCCATTTTACAGATTATTAGGCATGTTTGTAGCATTGAATAAAATAAAATTTCTCCACACCTTGTGGAGCAAAGAGAAAGATTGTTCAAATGGTTCACTTTTTCCTTCTGGAAAAATTCCTTCACTTTCTGCCATTACCTTGAGCTTTACTGCTCTGCTGTGAGCTGCTCACATTCATCCCACACTTCTGAGAGGTAACTGAAGTGTTTTCACTATAATAGATATCTCCTTATAAAGGAGTAAGCATCCAAACAGGCTGTGTATTATACTTGTTCATTTATAAGATGAGAAATTTTGTTACTTCTTCCCCCCCCTGAAATTATTGAGCAATTTTGCTGTTGTGCAAGTGTTGGATTATGAATATATTCAATTCTACAATTTCAATTGTGACTGAAATGTTTATTTAATGAAGAAGAACATTAGCAGTATTCCCTTCTTCAATCTCCCTTCTTTCCTCCCCTTTAATAAAAAATGTGCAAATTAGTTGCTGATTTATAAGATGACAACCTGGAATTTATCTCGTAATTTTTCTGTTAATACTACTTTTATCGGGAAGATACAATAGGGAGCTTTTACCCTGCTAATGAAGCAGAAATAGCAGGAAAGTGGGGTAAAATCAGGACACAAAAGCAGCTCTTTGCTTTCACGGCTGGGAAGAGCAAAGATGCAGGCAGACCCGATATGCCAGGTACTGCACTGTACTCTGTGTTCAGTTCCCTCATTGCCAGTCACCGAGGGGAAAACAACACGCCTGTCTCTCTCTCCTCGGGCAGAAATATTTAACCGACTATTGATTTGATGTGCCCGGCGAGGCTCCTCTTTCCCCCAGCGCTGCTGTTAACTCTTAGAGCAACAGCCCGATTTCTGTGGCGGTGGTTGTTCAAGGGCATGGATGCTTGCGCTGCTTCTGCATTTCCTGCGTGCTGGAGGAAAACAGAACAAGTTTCTTTTTCTGCGAATTATTATTAACTGTTGGGAAACAACAATCAATGATCTGTGGGTGTTTTTTTTTTTTTTTTTTTTTGGTATCCTGGGCAGCTGTCACATGATGAGGCAGAAGCACAGCAGGAATTGAAAGCTTTGCTCCGCTGGCGGCGACTCAGGGATGAGGTGCAGAACTCTGAAGAAGAACTACAAGTTTTACGGTACAGATCTGACAGTGCAATATTTGCCTGTGCTTTCTTTCTCTCTCCTGCTTTCTTTTTGACTGTTTCTCTCTTTTCCTCCTGTTTTCCTCCATCCTTTCTCTCCCTCTAATGGACATGCATCCAAATCATCTGATTAAATCCTCTGCATTTCCTTATTCCCTTCTGAAGAAAAAAGAAAAGCCAAATTAAATTGACTAGGTTATTCATCTTCTGCATAATAGAATTGTTTTTCTGCTTGTTATTAAAAAAAAAAAAAAAAAGGAAGAAAGAAAAGAAAGAAAAAGCTTTCTAAAAATGTGGGGTTTAGTTTGATATAAAATGTCTCTAAGCATTTTACAAGAGCTTCCATTCAGGAAAAAAGAGACCGTTTCCTGAACCAAGTTCATGGTTTGTAGCTATAAAAAATTCTTTTTTTCAACTCTGGCTGAAGAGAAGCACATGCAGGAATATGTCATGTAACTACTAAGTTCAATGAAGCTTTAAAAACAAAGGAAAATGCAAAATAAACTATGTAGGTGTGTTTTCACTTTAGAAATGACTGATTCTATTTAAACAAGATTTTGTTCTTTACATACCAGATGATGAGCTCAGGTCTTCTTCTCACATAATTAAATACTTTAGATCAAAAAAAAAAGTGCTTGCTTTGCTAATGTTTTAATAATCAGGGCTGTTCTTATTGGTGCTTTGTGAATTTGTCTGTCTTTTATCCTCAGGTATTTATAGAGTGGTTGCCTGGCATCTCCACTGCTTGTCTTCCCCAACAGCTTTTGACCAAGACAAATAGGTTCACTAATCAGAACCCCAATTAGTCCTATACTTACCAAATCACAGAAGGGCAGGAACAGAAAGATTATTCACTACATCCTCCTATCCAACATCACATGCATATGTATGAGCAGACCATCGTCAACATAGTTTTACTAACTTTTTCTTAGAAACCTCAATTTAAAAGGTTTGTGCAGTGTCTAACTAAGCTGTTTTATTACTAGCAATTAATAACTATTTCGTATTATCTGGCTAAAATCTTATTTTCAGTTATGTAGATTTCTTATCTTCTTTCACCGGGTGGCAGTGAAGAACAAATTGATCATCATCCCCTTTATAATCGTCTTTTATGTGTTTTCAGAAGACCGTTGTCATTCCATTCATTCTGAGGTCTTCTTTTCTTTATGTGCTTTCTCTTCAGGGCCTAGTAGCCTTTTATGTTTGCGTAGGAGGTAATGTTCACCAGTGGAGAAATTTTTCCCTGTGGATTCGTGTCATCCAAAAATGTATCATCGAATTTGCACTACTGTAGTCTTTCATTGATCTACCTTAATTCACATTTACTGATTAATTGTGTGTCACAGTTGTAAGCAGAGTCAGTCAAATTATTCATTTCCAAGTGTGCAGTTTAGTGATAAGGCTTGCTTTTATATTTCTACCTATCATCAACTACCATATAGCTGCTGCCAACACAAGTACTGACTGACAGTGTCTTGGCTTTTTGTTTGTTTGTTTTTAAAAAAATTACTTTTATCCTGGAAACATTGTTTCTTGTGATAGGGAACGTATTTGGATGTTCTTTCTTATTGTTGTTGTTTTGTGGGTTTTTTTTCCAGTATTACAAAGTTGTGTTTGCTTTCTTTTACACTAATTATATAGCTGTTTTGTTTTGTTTTGTTTTGTTTCCCTAGGACTAAAATAACCTTTGTAGTTTGAGACTCAAGGGCACCTATTTATATACCCAATGAAACTGAAGTTTCTGAAACTGAAGTTTCCTGGGGTGCATTAAGAAGAGCGTCTCCAGCAGGTCRAGGGAGGTGATCGKCCCCCTDYACACAGCCCTGGYGAGGCCACATCTGGAGACTGTGTCCAGTTCTGGGCTCCCCAGGACAAGAGGGATGTGGAGCTGCTGGAGAGAGTCCAGCGCAGGGCTATGAGGATGATCAGGGGCCTGGAACATCTGCCCTATGAGCAAAGGCTGAGAGAGCTGGGCCTGTTCAGCCTGGAGAAGAGGAGGCTGAGGGGGGACCTGATCAGCGTGTATAAATACCTCAAGGGAGGCAGTGAGGAGGAGGGGGGCGGCCTCTTTTCAGTGGTGGCCAGCGACAGAACTACAGGAAACGGCCACAAACTGAAGCACCAAAAGTTCCACAGGAACTTAAGGAAACACTTCTTGACAGTGAGGGTGACAGAGCCCTGGAGCAGGCTGCCCAGGGAGGTTGTGGAGTCCCCTTCTTTGGAGATCCCGCTTGGATGCAGCCCTGTGCCCCGTGCTCTGGGTGACCCTGCATGTGCAGGGGGGTTGGTCTAGATGACCTCTGAGGTCCCTTCCAACCTTGGGCATTCTGTGATTCTATGATTCTGCAACTTGCCATAGTTAGTAGATGTCAAGTCTACTGCATGTTTACCATGCAGTATTTGCTTTTGCATAGTGATATTCTCAGTGTAAATACAAAAGAACGATAAATAAGTTTGTATTTGTAAAACTATGCCACAACATACTCACTTTAGAAGAGGAACTTGAGACCAGTTTGGGGTTCTGTGCATCTTTGTCTCTCTGATTTCTCTGGTTTCCTGCAGTCGCGTCTAAAAAGGACTTTCTGCTGATTTCAGTCAGCATAAATGTCTTCTAGCCCTTCTGTGGCATGGAGTTAGTTCTGTCTTCGTGTATGTAGTGTTTTTTCTTTTTTCTCCCAGTATGTCAGCATGCTTTCCAGTGCTGGTGTTCCAGAGATAAATTTTCAGTCTTTTATTTATACTAGATGTTTAACCTTTACTGATCCTTGTGGTGATTCAGGTTTGTGCTCTTTTATAAATACATTAAAAGCAAATGATAACTTTTTGTTTCTTTTTTCAGCCACGTCAGGAAGACAAAAATCAAGCAGCCTCATCACAAACTCTTTTTTCAACTACTTTTCTTTTTTCCCTATTGGACAGTCACATGTGTTTCCTTTTTCTGTGCTTTCTCCTGACAGAAGGAAAGCTTTGCCCACAGTTTGACAGCTCATCTTGTTAACTCTTGATCCTGCACGTGAATGCATATTATGACTAGGTGAAAGCCACACACCAAGTGATCATCATTATATTTCTTATTATTTATTATTATAAATATTTGATGCCATATCCTTCTTATATGGTGCTTCTGAAAAATGAGGTCAGGTATGAAAGAAGTGATCAGTCCCTTTTCAGCAGGCGAAACTCTGACAAGTAGCACAAGCAGTTCTTCAGTGTAGAAGAATATGTGTGGCACTGAGTTGTAGTGCATGTGTAAGATAAGTCTTCAGAGTCCTGTGGATTATCCCACAGCTTGAAGCAAACCTGCAGACAGAAAATCACACAGGAAAAAATCACTCATTCTGCTGGCCACCATCAAACCAAGTCTCTCATGGTATCAAAACAAAGAAGACTTGAGAAGACTCCATTTCTTTCTCTGAAATGAAGCTGGCACTCAGTTCTCCTCTTGCAAAGGGCCTTGTGATTTAACTTCTGCCTGTGATTTTTCACTAGAACAAACCAGTGTTGTTACCTTTTCTGCTTCCTTCAAAAATATACCAGTATCTAAAATCTACCAAGCAGCAATCTGAATAAGCTGAATGAGCTTGGCTTTCGTGTTATGCATACCTCCACTTATTAAAATAGATGCCAGGTTTGTTGGGCAGTGGAACAATCATTCGATCGCTGAACCTGCAATGTACCGTAAGTTCTAAGCATTGCTTTAAGTCAGCATGCCAAAGTACTGACAGCACTGCACAGGATAATGTTCTGGATATGTACGGTGTTGTGCGTTTAGGATATATACATTCTTTGTGAGAAGAAATTCTTCAGTACCATCATTCACGTGGGGTACTGCTCTCCAGAGACACAAGATCTACACAGGCACTAAGCTGAAGGTGGAAGAAGGGAAAGGATGACTGCCCAATTTAGAATAATTCTGATTCTAAGAGGTGTTTTGCCTTAGTATATATATTCTATAATATATATATATATATATATATATATATATATATACTTAGTATATATTCTATAACCTGTGCTCAGGCTCTGCTTTTCAAGGTCTGTGAAAGCAGGCTCTTTATTATGAGGGAAACATGGAACAGTTTTTGGTTGTCTTTTTTATACTTAAATGTGAGAAGTTGCATATAAAATTCCAACAGGCCTCACTTACAGGAGCCTGATCCAAATGGAAAATAAGCACACTATAGTGGGTATCTGCTACAATGGGCCTGAAAAAATTGAATGTGAGCTTTTTTACTTTTTGTTTTTATTCTATTTGATTTCAAATAGTTGTCTTTCATCTAGATTTCTCTGTGTCAAGTGAATTTTATGTGCCTAGGTCCCAAACATAGTGCTTAAGGGGAAAAAAAATGCTTGACACTCTTGGCAAAACTATAGTAAGAAGCCATTACAATGATACCAAAAAAGGAAGAATGTTTTCTGTACAGCATACCAAGATAGAGAAGAAAAGAAATATGATCACTGGAATTAGCTCATGAGTAGCACGTGGGTAATGTGGTTTGAAGAAGCCTGCACTGCTGTGGTCTGTGTTGTCCCTACTCTGTAGAATTGGGGAAAAAGAGCTTCAGTCTCCGAGACTGGCCCTTCCAAATGCACATTTAGATTCAGGATTTTGTTTTAGTCAGACAGGCCCCTGTTCTCGGGCAGATGGCTAGTCTATTTTCTGGATGGAAGATAAAATAACTAAAAGACTACTAAAAAAAACTAAAGAATACTGTGTCTGAAAATACTTCTGAAACAAAGAAAAAGTTATTTGCATGTCTTCTCTTTCATTTTTGTGCATTTTTGTGCTTACAAGAGCCTGGAAATCCTCTAGCGTTTACTGATGATTTCTGATGAACCAGATGTTTTGTTGCTTTTTAAAGTTAAGAGATCAAGAATTAAATTTCCTTCTAGACATTATTACCTGTCTTAAACTTTCAAATCTGTATGTATGAAAGAGGCTTTTTCTTTTAAAGCTTCAATCATTTTTCTTGCAACCTAAAATGGCAAAATTAAGAACAGAAAATCATTTAATCTGTGGTGAATTACATGCAAATGAAAAATATTATTCTTGAAAATGTGCTTATGTGGGCTTTTCTTGAGCCACTCTTTTTATGTAAGAAGCTCTGGTTGAACAGAATGACTCAAAACTCCTTCCTTTTCTTTCCCTTCTGCCTGAAATGTCTGTCTTATTGTTTTGTTTTGTTTCTCTTTATTCATAGTGTGTCTGTGTACTGTGGAATGACATGCAACATAATGTCATGCTGGCAGTGAAGAGTGTACACCAACTTAGTGATGCCTCTCAGATTTACCACAGTTGCCTGGGCAGCTGTATACAAAATAGCATTAAAAGTATGCGGCTCCTAATTTCTTTTTGTTTAAGCCAACTTATTTAACTCAGAATCACAGAATCCTTAAGGTTGGAAGGGACCTCCTGAGGGATCCTCTGGCCCAACGCCCCTGCTCACGCAGGGTCACCTAGAGCACGGGGCACAGGGCTGCGTCCAAGCGGGTTTGGAAGATCTCCAAAGAAGGAGACTCCACAACCTCCCTGGGCAGCCTGTGCCAGGGCTCTGTCACCCTCACTGTCAAGAAATGCTTCCTTAAGTTCCTGTGGAACTTTTGGTGTTTCAGTTTCTGGCCGTTTCCTGTAGTTCTGTCGCTGTCCACCACTGAAAAGAGGCCGCCCCCTCCTCCTCACTGCCTCCCTTGAGGTATTTATACACGCTGATCAGGTCCCCCCTCAGCCTTCTCTTCTCCAGGCTGAACAGGCCCAGCTCCCTCAGCCTTTGCTCACAGGGCAGATGTTCCAGGCCCCTGATCATCCTGGTAGCCCTGCGCTGGACTCTCTCCAGCAGCTCCACATCCCTCTTGTACTGGGGAGCCCAGAACTGGACGCAGTACTCCAGATGTGGCCTCACCAGGGCTGTGTATATTTCTTAATGCACCCCAGGATCCCGTTGGCCTTCTTGGCCACCAGGGCACACTGCTGCCTCATGGTCATCTTGTCATCCACCACAATGCCCAGTTTCGTGCTTTCGAAAAATACAGGAAAAAAGAAAAAACGCAGAGAGGAGAAAAAGACGGAATGAGTGGCAGTTATATAGAGATACCATACCAAAGACAGTGCTTTACAGTGCCATGGCAGTACGAACATGTAATCACAGAATCACAGAATATTCAAGGTTGGAAGGGACCTCTAGAGATCATCTAGTCCAATGTGTGACTCATTTCTTTGCTTTCTTATCCAAGCCTTAAATAGTTTGCAATCATTTTAGGCCCAACAGAGAGAACACTGGAGAAGTGAGCGAGTCGGGAGCATCTGTTGTCAAGCATGGTCTTAAAGCAGAAAAAATCTTCATGCAGGTTCACTATTTGAAGGTGAGTGTTTTGAGCCGTTTTTTAATGGAATTGATTTGCTGGTATTATAAAGGCTTCTTTCTTGTAGACATGTGTTAATTTATAGTTTCTTCCTCATTCTTGCAGGGTTACTTCCTTTTGCGGTTTCTGGCAAGGACAATAGGAGAGGCTTCATACCTTGCTTTGTTAAGAAAATTTGTCCATAAGTTCCATGGGCAGCTTGTCCTATCTCAGGTACTCTGCATTGGATTCTTCCTACTTTCTGGAAAAAATAAAGAAAGAAGAAAAAAGGAAAAAATACAGTAATTTTGGTTGTGGTGTGAAAAGAGAACAGAAAGAGAACACTGCAGAAACCCCTGCCTTCCAGAGAGCAGTACCTCTCTTCAGAATGATACATAAAACAGACGCTCTGCTTGTATCTGATTTGTAAGCAATGGATAAAACTTTTTTGGGAAATATCAGCTCAGTACTCTAAACATCTAATATTTTTCAATGAAGATGTTTTCAAAGATAGTCATTTGCTGTACTGGAGCTGTTCGCTGTACTCTTGACTACTGAGTTTTGGTTGTGGTGAGTCAGTCTCTGCCCAGATACCTTTCTTTCCGCTAGAGCAGAAATGTGGAGTAGGAATGTAACTGAAAACTTCTCTAAATAGTAACTGTGTGTGCACATTGCTTTCTGACTTTATTTCCTTCCTCCTTACTTGCTGCTTCATCCAGTGCTTGAAATTGCAGTCTTTTAGCAGGATGATGTCTTTTCCACTAAGTCAGTGTCCCATCACTCTTTGGCTACCTTTATGGCCATCTTTTACCCACCTGTATCACAGTCTTATCATAGTCGCTGTACAGATTTTCTCATTACATTTCTTTCTAAAATATTCTTCTGTTCTCTTATAACTTATCTCTTTCTAAAATGTTCTTCAGTTCTGTGTGCTGGCTGCTCTGCATCTCATCTTTAAAGATCTGTCAGACCCTATGTATTTTATAAATAGCCCACCTCTCCGTGGATTCATTTCGATGTCGGGTTACCCAGAAGGGAGACATCGTAGCAACTGCAGCAACTCTGGAAGAACAATTAGGATGTTAAGGGAATTAGTGTTTCCATGCTGTAGTTGTTTCCTGTACCATGTCACTGAGACCTTTATCTGTCACAGTGTGGAAAGTACCAGTAGCTGTGGCAGCCTGTGTTAGGGAGCCCAAAATCATGAATATGAGACTTCACTATTACACAGCTGGAAGCTTTTTGAAGAAATACAGATATCCTGAAATTGCTGGAAGTAAGAAGTGGTCCTGTGCTTTAATCTGGTTGTAAGAAAGGTGCTGATGTTTTTGTGAGAAAAAAGTCAGCCTGTAGGTCTCCTAAAATGTGTACTAAATATTCTTACCTTGAGTGTGATGCTTTGAGCTTTCCTAGGTGGCTGCGCTTGACGATCAGGTGTAAATGGGACACAAGGTCTTAGGGCATCATGGGCCACATGGGCCTTGTTTCTTTGCAGCCTAAATCTAACTCCCCTAGAAACCTAATTCCTAATTATTTCCAATTCCTATAGGAATTGGAAATGTAAGAGCAATTAAGCCAAATTAGTATGCAAAATTTATTGTTCAATTTTGAGTTCTTTCTTGAGAAAAACATGCTGTCAGTGTTTTAATTTGTAGAAGATTTAAAATAAATAAATGTGCAAGTGATTAAATATTGTGTTGTACCTTCACCTTGTCCAAAGTAGTTGTGAAGGGTCTCAGCCTCAGGAATTATGGGAAAGAGGGAAAGTAAAAATAATTGCCCACCTTCTGAATACTAGTCTTGTTTTCAGTGATGTTTGTAGTGTTTTTCCTAGATGAGGGCTGCAGGTGCAAGGAAATGACTTCAGATGTGAAACATTAATCAATTTACTTTTTTCCTTCATTTTGATTGCATGCTCAGTATGTTTTTAGTAGTAGTTTTTGTTTATTTTAGTTGAGTTAGCAACAGATGAGTAAAGCAAGTCTGGAATCTCTGAGAGGGGGTTGAAAAAAGAGAACTTTGTGTTTTCTTTCTATGAGAGAACTCACTTAGCTGCTTTAAATGAACTTTTAAAACAATGAATGGAATGTTACTGACTATAAAAATAATTAGGAGTGCACAGTGCTGATATTCCTAATGCTGCCAAAGCTATTGTTCAGTTTGATATTGAAATAATCAATATTAAATATCCCAACCTTGGGAACTGTCTATTTTGCAGACTTCAATTTTCACAGTTTCGTCTACTATAATAATAACCCAAGGTCTTTTGTGTTCACCCATTCCGATGGAGTTATAATTTGCTATGATAAAATGTCAGTAAAGGGAGCTCGTCAAAACATTACAAACTGTGCTGTACTTGGAAGTTTTAAAGGCACATTTGTTGTGCACATGTAAGTCCCCATGTGTACAACATCCTACATCAAGTTGTCCCTCGCACCCATTTGCATCAGTAATTTTTTCATTACTGTGAATATCCTACAAGGAATTGGTACCTGCACGTACAAGTCGTCATCCATCTGCTTGACTGTAGAAGCCTTGTGACTAGAATTGAAAGTCTGAGCATGTGGCACATGAGTGTTTGGATGTACCAATCTTGATGTACCAATTGGATGTACCAGTTTCTCCTTTAAGGTGCCAATCTTTGGCATTTTTCCTTTAAATGGAAGTTTTCTAAAATTCCCTGCCTGCGTTTGGCTTTGGCCATGCCCTGCTGGCCAAGCCGTGAGCTGGAGCGAGGGCTGCGGACGGGAGCGTCGCTCCGTGCTGAGTCTGGTGGGAGCGTCGCTCCGTGCTGAGTCGGGAGCTCGGCGCCCACAGCAGCTTGGAGCAGGGGGTCTTGTCCTTCTGCGACCCCAGGGAACTGGGAAACAGCCAAGAACTTGGCTCAGACAGAGTCAGCTTTCTGCTCCCATCCTGCACATCCGAGCAGACTGCGACGTTTCTGTGGTTGTTGTTAGCTAAGCCCCGTGCAGCCCTTGTTCACTTTCCCGGTATGTGCACACAACGAGACAGCCTCCAATACGGCGTGATCACAACTGTACTTTATTTACTGTGCAGCATTTCTGTCTATCTTTCTAAGTTTTAACAAGTATACAGAAATTTAAAAAAAAAATTAATTTCAAACATTTTAACCTGAGATTAACTATATCTAAAATATTTACATATATGGCAACTGTTTAGTATATAGACCAGATAACTGTACTGCACATTTTGCACAACCCACTGCATTAGTATATATCTTTCAAATACAATTATATCGAAGAAGGGGCTGGTGAATTGCATTTGAAGTATAACTAAGATTGGATTAATATGGGTATTATGAGTATGTTATGGTATATTATGAGGCAATATTTTTTTCTTTGTGAGAAAACTTCCTATTTATTCTTTCCGATGTACTTTTCTCCAAATAAGATAGACATTTTATTTTAAAGGCCAGACAGGTAACACAATGCAGTAGATGCAGTAATGGGACCCAAGCAGTGAACTGAGAGAGATGAATCCAGGAGAACCCAAGTGTTTTATCATCATATCTAAGATGGATGGCTGAATAAAAAATATAAATTATAAGTCAATTGATTGTGTCACATGTTTTAATAACCAAAAATATAGGTATGTAAAAGTCCAAGTAGCTTTTGGTAGCTGTCCCAAATACAAAGATCTTTGTAAAAATACAAAGAGAAGTAAAGAGAAGCATTACGAGAAGCAAGAAGAAAAGAGAAGCAGTAAGATATACAAGTACAATTGCCTTCTATCAGGAAAGTGTCACATATGTCTGCAAATGTGGCTTGGGCCTTTCTGATAAATCCTTCCCATAGTTTCCAAACTAAGTTTTGAATTTTCAGCCTTCCACTATGGAATGCTTTTTTGCATTTGGATTTTTGTTACTGTATTTACTTCTCTGCTGAACTAGACTTTTCCTATTTGGTTAACTTCCATTTAGCATCCTTTAGACTTAAAATTACATGATAGCTTGTTGTACGATTTAGTCTGATAGGAAAAAAAGATTAATTCTGTAGTTAAATTCTGACTAAAGCAAACAGACAAGGGAGTGGGCTTCATTTATGCCTGTTGAATCACAGCCCCAACTTTTGTTTATTTAGTGGAATTTATTTTAAATAATCCCAGTTAAAGGCATCTTCCGTTTAATTTTCTGCTCAATAATAATGGAAAATATATATAAGAGGTAGTTCTTCATCTTTTCTAAGGTGTGAGCATATTTTATATGTTTATGCACATGAAATAGAAGCCAACTGTGTTTATTTCTGTTTTTTGGGGCAGCAGTATATTGGGTATTGCTAAATAGTGAGAATCGTTGTGTGTTCTGAAGAAATCAAAGCAATTCATTTGAGTCTGCGGCAATGTAGGTTCCAGAGTCAGAGTGTTCAGAGAAGTCATGTTGAAAACTGAATGCTTTCATTTCCCTGCCTGGAACCTTGTTTGAACTTTTCTATCAATAAAGCAAGAAGAAATGAAAACACTTTTTTAGTAAATTAAGTGATAACCAACATACTTCCTGCAACTGATCTATTCCAAGAATGGGCTTACCTGCTTCGAGGTGTTCTGATATGCAGGAAGTGGTAGGTGTTAAACATAAAAGACCTATGGCTCTAACAGAAGCCCTCTTCCAAGTATAGATGGGATAAGTTAGGACTTGCTTCCCTTAATTATTAACCCTGTAGCTAACAGGACAAATATAATGGCTAATATGGACCAGTTCAGTCTTGTGTATTAGCTTAGAATAGGATGAAAGCAAGGCTACTGTATTCTGAAGGAATCTCTAGTCTTTAGAGGGGAATTCTGGACTTTTTATCAAACCACATAAGGAAGATTTCAACATGTTATTACTTTTGTTAAATAAAAGGAAGATGAATGCGAAGAGAATTTAAAATAATCTGGATCCTAGGAAGGATGCTTATTTGCATTATACATACTTTTCCCCTTAAAACAATGAAGTAACGTTTACCATTTAGTTAAGAAATAATTTGCAAATTCTGTAATTGTTGGAGTAGTTTAACTTTGAGTCAATAATTTTCATAAGAAATTGTATGTAAATAAATTTGGAGTTTTTTTGTTGGCAACTGAATGTCCTTTTAGATAGTCTAGCTTCAGGTCATGAAATTTCCATTTCTTCTATGTATTATCCATTCATATTGAAATTAGAGAATCTAAATGATACTTTTTGTTGGTTGTAGAGTACTTGAAATATATCAAATCCATTTTTCCAAACAAGAGGCTATTATATTCCCTTTAATGTTCTCTGTTTCCTGTTTAATATGAACAGGTGTGAACAGAGAGAGCTGTCTGATTCCTCACAAGAATTTAGGAACAGAAACATACTAGTGGTTTATTAAAATACAACCACTGGCATTATCATATAGTGACTGCAGCAGTGGAATGAAAGATCTTGTCGACTTCTTGCTTCAAGTAGCCTCCTTTCCCAGTTCCTCAAGGCTTTTTCTGTCAACCCACTCCTCAGTCATTAGGTCCCTACTCTCCTTGCACTCAGGCCTGCCACATTCATTAACAGTGCAAAGAAACTTTCTCCTTGATCTCAATTCACAGTCTGTTTCCAGCCCAGAGTTGCAGTTGTAAGGAAAATTGTTGGCTTAAGTCTGCAGCATGGTGAGAATAGACAAGAATCTTCAGGGTATTCAGTTGTGAGAGTCTTGCAGATCCTTGTGAACATGTGCAAACTCATTTTTCAAAGTATTTTTTTTCTGTTTGAAAATAGAAATGTGAATAAAATTCCACAAACTGCAGAATAAGAGTTTCTGGTATAACAGAATGTCAGGAAACGTTGTTTTCTAGCCTCTGGGTTTCCAGATCAGAAAAAAACCCAACAGAAGTCAGGAAGGTGAGTTTATATAAAAATGTAAATATAACTGGATTCATTAATAATGTAGCACGGTGGTGGCATGTGTTTTCTAAGTTACATTCTCTTTCTGTCTTCACTGAACTAGTAGTAGCAGAAACAGAAAAATACGTATTTTGTTTTATGATCTGATCCAGCCTTTATTTGCCCTGGCCACCAGCCTTGTTTCAGAATGTAAAGTGACTGAAACCTTAAAGAAAATGCCATTAGAACTTATGAACATTTGGCCCTACCTTTGCTACTGGGCAGTTCTGAACCATTTTGTCTGGAAGGGAATAAAACATGGCCTCAGGCTAAAATTTCAGTCCGGATGGTTAAAGTTTGACAAAGTTAAACACAACTGAAACCTCAGGCCCATAATGGCATGTATCAGGCAGACTTGATAATAGGCAAATGTTAGAAGACTTGTGAATATGAGGTAAATAATAATTCATTATTCTATTCTGTTTTGGGACATTGAAATAAAAACAATGAATACCAGAAAAAGATTAATCCTAACTTTAAGAAAGTGCGTAGGATGATTGTTAGTGTTTTATTCTTTATGGTTATTCTGAAAAATAAAGACAGCCTAATTTGTGAATCAGATGTTTAATTTCATACTACAACATACAAAATTGTTGTACAAAATGCAAAAACACTTCTAATACCAGAGATATGTTGAAGTGGACCATAGGATAGATTTTAAATCACTGCAATCTGATCAGTGATCCTGGTTGGACTGATGTTTACAAGGTTCTGTGCAAAATAGTGTCAAGAAGGAACACTTCAGTGTTGCATTTCAGATGTCTCATTCCTGAAATAACACTAATGATGATCTCTTCTCCATTTTTTTTTTTTTTGTAATCTTTATTTCCATGGAAGTTGAGTCTGTGCCTACAGAGTAGCTTCCACAAGTGGAAAGAGTCAATAGTTATCTGTGATATATAGAATAACAGCACAAACCTGAAAATAACAGTATGAACTAAGGGGATTTTTCAGGGCATCATCTTGTGAGAAATGCATTGTAGTAGGGCAGAGCCAACCTGACGTAGCTAGCGCAGTTAATGATAGCAGTCTTGCCACAGCAACACAGTGTAGTTCATCTTTCTTCCTAAGCAGGTTTTGCAGCCAATGCAACCTGGCGTGTACCTGGGTTATGGTGTAAACACGACTTCGCGTTAGCAGTAGTTTCAGTTCGAAGAGTCAGCTCTTGTGGCAACTGCTGGCAATCAGAAATCAGCCTGTGCTCATACTGCTACATACATTTGGCTATATGAAACTTGTCTCAAGATTAATATTAAAGTTGAATATATTGCTTTGCAGAATAGGATTATAAAAGGAGAGCTCGTATTAATAATTCCTCATTCTCTGTGGTGGTTGAGTGGAACAAAGTGGATGGTGTCAAAGTGATTGACCTTAGAATTAGACTGTGTTCAGCATGGGTTGCTTTTGAATGATGTCAGATATAATTTAAAAAGAAATATTGTACTGTTGCAAGTGAGGACGATGGTGGTAATGTTCCCATGGCCTCGCACTTTCCTTCTAAATCCAGGAAAAAAAATCTAGCTACTTTTTCCTTGAAGAGTTGTATTTCACGTGTGGCATAACTTGCAGTAACAGGTTAAATTTTGTCAGGGAATGAGGAGCAGGATCGGATATGCATGAAAAGCGAAAAAGCATGTGGTTGTGCAATTAAAGAAACGTGATAACAAAAGTGTATTGGACAGAATATATAGGACAAATTAACTCTGGTGTTTCATAGCTTCTGAGTATGTGAATCTGCAGCCTTTAACAATGCTCTTTTAATGTAGTTAGTGTGTGCTATAGATTAAACAAAAACAGGAACGTAGGATTATGTTAATATAGCAGGCTTTTCAAGGCCATTTTCTTTCCACATTGACACTTTTTGCTTGAGTGGGTTTGAAAACTGACAAACATAATATATGTTGTATAAATAATTGAGTAGCATAACAACACAGTGGATATATAAACTTATTTCTAACCATTCTGCAATCTGTAGTGGTTAAAATTGCAGTACTGGTTCTGTGGACACAGAGAATCTCTCAATAAACATACCAACTGTGGTACTTCTTTTGTTTTCTAGGATTTTCTCTGCATGTTGTTGGAGGACATCCCTGAACAAAAAGGGTAAGTGAGAAGCAGGCTAGAAATTTTAAAGAAGAAAGTAGAAATCAGGTCTAGACATCAGTTGTGCCAGCTAGAAACAGCAGCTGAGTAAAAGAGAACATTCAGTGTTGTTTTTAAACGCACGCGTAGGCGTGTGTGCGTGTGTGTCTCCGTGCTCTGAACCCGCTGCCCGTGGGACACGGGATGGATCCTCGCAGTGCTGCTGCTGCCCCGACTGCCTGCCCGCAGCGCCGTTGCCTCGCGTTAACGGCACAAGGGAGAGCTCCTGGGCCTGCTGTGTCACCACAGCACCTTCCACCTCACCCGTGGCTGCCGCGGCCTCTCCCGAGCAGCCCCTTCCCGGGGCTCTCCACTGTGTCAGAGGGGAGAAAGGTGAAGATCCCTAATGGAAATGGAGAGCTAAGGACCTCACGTGCACTTCAAATTCCTCCTGCGCGTGACCGGCTCACAATGATGCAGCCGCTGTGGAACACGGCTTTGGATTCACCCTGGTTAATTTGCTCACTTGCTCTGGGCTAAAACAGGCTACAAATACAGCTCCTCCTGGCAATGGGGCTTGGCAAATAATAATTTCTCCAAACAGTTCATTCGCTTGAAAGAGTCTTCCTGGAGAGCAGAGTTCCATAACTCTTGACAAGTATGGGTGAATAGCTTTTGCTGAAGAGAAGGGAAGAGGAAATTCTTAAAAGTCCAATCTGTTGCCTTTTTTTAGTGAAATGCTTTTATTTTTGATTTAAAAATGTTTCAGTTTGAATTTTCCTGACAAAATTGTGTTTCTGCATGAGGTATTAAAATGTCATAGTGAGGGAAAAGATTATAAAAAATTACTAAAACTTCTCTTTTCTTGAGTGAACATCTTTCTCTTTTTTTTTTTTTCATGAGAAAAGATTATTTCGAAATAGTCCTTTCAAGCAGTAAATGACAAAATCCCTGCATGGAGCAGTTCCCCTGTGAAGATGTAAGAGGCAAAGTTGTTTCCTTCCTCATCACAGTTGCACAACCTGTGACTGCGAGCATTAGTTGAGTTAAGGACATAAGGACTTATTCTTTTGCCAAATGTGCTTCTCACAGACGCACATGCACAGACACCATCATCCTAAGAACGTATAACCTGTGTCATCTTGACAGCTTGAAAGTTTTCTGCATATTTTCAGTGAACTGAATTCAGGTCTCCCACCAAAACACGAGCATAGGGAAATACACTGTAAAAAAATAGTAGTTGTGGACGTTTTTGAGTCTGGATAATTGTTTTCCTCTTCTTACACAGCACAGAGATAGAAACAGAATTCGTAGCCGTGATTTAGTAATCCAGGTGTAGAGAACAAAACAGTAGCAATATCTTCTAAGAGAGAAACAAGATACAAGAGATATTTTAATATTCAGCTTATTATTCTGCTTCTTCAAGGTATAGAAAACCTGTGACAGGGAAGCTAATTGTCATTGAGACAACTTATTCTGTTGCACTATGCAGTTAGTTTGGGTGGTGTTATTTCTCTTCAGTGATATATCTTGGAGTGCTATTTTGTTTACATTGTGATTTGGGTTTCCAGTCCAAAAGTAATAATGAAAAAGAAATGGGATGTGTTGGAAAGTGAGTTATCTATTGGCATGAGTATTTGTAGACTTATTAATAAAATCTCCATTTTCCTTCCATGCTTCATTTGTTTCTCCAAAGCCTAAACCTAGTACAAAGCCTCATTTGAATAAGGCGTCTGATTTTTCAACCTACATATATGCCAAAATATTTAAAACTTTAGTGAGATCACTGCAAAGAAAGTATGGCTGACAGATTTCACTTGCATCACCCCTGAATGTATGGGCAAAATTTCACATCTATGGTAATTTATAGTACAACCAGACATATAGCATATCTGAACCTTTTTACTGCCGATATTACTTTGAATGAGGATATCAACAGGAATGTCAGCAGTAAAAGAACATCTGGACATAAAGGAGACCTTTATTTCTTACCTGCCGCAAAGATATGCTCTTCAGTGCACTCTGTTCTTAGTATACAAAAACATACAAATGCTGAAATTAGGACAAGCTTGAAAAATATTAAACATTCTCACATTCTAATGTTTGTAATAGATACTGACCTGAATAATTATAATAAAAAAGAAGTATGCAATCAAGTCAAAATCTACTCTCATCAGTGGCAACAGAGGTAAGCTACCGTAGCTAAAGAGTGAAGGCTTTTGCAATGAGAAAAGGATTAATATTGGTAGAAAGCAATCATACAGCAGTGTGGAAATCTTTTCTAATCATTAGCTTTGAGCAATGCAACGTAAATTTTCTGCTATTGGATACAGCAGGCTATATCTGAAAGATTTTCATTCTTCTAGAGCTTAACGTCTTTAGTTTCAGTTCCTGCAGATTTTTTTGAAGACATTCCCAGCAATGAGCAGTTCAAAGGTACAGGCATAACCTTTTGTGTAGTAGACACTGATTTCTACTGGCTTTTGTGTATGGAGGAGGAGGATTATATACCTGGTTTTTGGTGCTACTGTCCTTCTTATTTTACCTCAATGTGAATGGCAGCTTAGCTAGAGAAATACAGACAGGATCCTTCTGTTTCTAGATTCTGTCTGAACAGCAGCATGGGACAGGTCTAGCACCATCTCTTTTTTTTTGTCCATTGAAATCTCCTAACTTGCCCTCAAGGCAGATTTCCTCTGTTTATGAAAGGCTAATGTCAAGAAAGGCACAAATATCTGCCTTGTTAGACATGCTCCTCTGCTTTTAAAACCCTTCTACTACAAAATGTACTATATGCTTTGCATTATCTACACTATTTTCCACCTGCAACTGAGACATCTTACTACCTAATCTATAATTTGAGTATTGATTACAGTTTATCTAAAAGCTAAACCAAATAAGAACAAACCCCCCTTCTTTTTTTCTGTCTGCCTATCATGGTGCACTAAATTTGATCAAAACAGTTATTCTGTTCCCTGGGCGGCTTACAGTCCTTGTTGTAAATTGATCCTGACCACATCTGCCCAACATGTGAGCCATGCAAAGACTCAGTGTTTTTAAGGCTCTGTAACAGAGCACAAGTTTCACTGTTCTCAGATAAATTGAGTTGCAGCTGCTTATGTTCTTTACGACTGCAAATCTTTCTAATCAGTTCACGTATGCTCTTTAGGTTTTTCTGTTGCTATTTTCTATTTAATTTGCAATAAAATAAATAAGCAAACTAGTAAAGCTATGGTTTTAGTATTATACAATTGACAAAATAAGGCTTGTGTATGGCTCGGTTATTTGTACCATAAATAACTCAGCTTTACTAACCACATTCCTTGTCTGTCTGTAAAAATTACCAGTTAAGTTCTAAATAACATTAAAATAATGCTGTAATTTCAAAGTTATATTGAAGTATAAGAAGAAAGTATATGTCAAAGAAGTATATGTCTCCTCCTTTCTTACTTCCTTTCTCATTTACTTGCATGAAAGCCTACTTGTAACAGAAGTAATTTTTTTCATGGAAACAAATAGCTGGTAGGCATATAGCTTCCAAAGGAAATCAGCGTGAAAGATTTTTCCATTTTTTTTAATCTTTTTTTTTCCTTTTTTTTTTCCTTGTGTAAGCTAAAGCATATATGCTGAATAAAACTTTAAAAAGGTAGACATCTATGCTGAATTAAAAAAAAAAAAAAAAAAAAAAAAGCTGTCCATAGCAAGAAGCTATGGACAACTGAGGACAGCTGACAAAATGATTATTCTCACATGAGTCTGGTATTTGGTTCTAACTGCACCTTATTATTTAACTGGGATAAATGATCAGTGTCAATTAATGTATATAGCTGATGAAGACCTGATTAATTTAAAAATGCTCAGTATCAATAGATATACTGATGAAGAAAGAATGGTCAAAGAAGTATTTTCAATTGGATTTGGTAGATGTGCGCAAAGTTTCTGGGGTGTCCAGTTCAATGAAAGCCTGATACACAGAGATCTGTTACAATACTAACTTTTCATTAGCATTAGTGTGGTACAGAACTTGCTTTTAGAGGCCTTGAACGTGGCCATGCATGTATGCATGTTAGGAGATGGTTCTTGGGCTGACCAGCTTGCACTCTATGCAAACAGAGGTGGAAGGAGATAGTGCATGCACCAGCATTCTCATTTTACCGCAGGGGAACTGCAGTACCAAGCAACTAAAAAAAAATAACTTGCCCAGTCTTGCAGAAACTGTTACTTTGCTATCAATTGAACCCAGATTATCAAAGCCCTGCACTATTTCCTTAACCAAAAAGCCAGTTAGGAAATCAAACACACAGCAGATTTAAGTCTTTACTGGTACTTAAATGCAACATAAGCAGGTGGTAAGTGCCCTTTCTGAATATGGATGCTTTACTGAAATACAGCCTCTATAAATATCAGGCTCTGTGTCCTTTCTTTAGGACATTTGTATTGCGACATCAGTGTGTTTATTCTATTTTTTGGGCCTGATCCAAAGCCAAGCAAGTCAGTGGAAACCTTAAAGGACTTCACATTTCTTCAGTGTAGACTCTCAGTCATGCTCAGATCAGATTTTTGCAGCAGTCAGTGTATTACTGTGTATTATATTTGGGAATATAATATTTTATTGCGTAGCTTTTATTTTGAGAAAATCTTACCCCTTAAGTTTACCATAGGTTCTGAAACAAAAAACAAAAAACAAAAAACAAAAAACAAAAAACAAAACAAAACAAAAAAAAAAAGCCAAGGGAAAAGCTATCATTGTGGGGCTGTCTTTCTCATCCCTAGCTAAAAACAGAATAAATACATGAGCTTTCCAAAGTGCTAGCTGTGGTTCAGGTTAGATTCATGCAATAACAGATAAAAAATGATTATTGTGATGTTGTGGCTTGAAACAGATAAGCAGATCGGGAGATAACCGATCTACCTTTGGCTGTACAAAACCTGGAGTTTGGTTTAAATTACTCCTGTATACACCCTCTCTAGTAACAGGACAGAGATAAAGCCTCAAAAAATGATGTCGTATTATCCCAATGTAAGTGAATTGACTGGCTTTTGGATATGGTTTTCTTTTTCTCCATTATCCAAGGAAGGGATTCGGCTAAATAATTTACACTAGGCACCAATTGGTAGCAACATGTAGTAAGGTAAAAGTATTTGCAAGGAAGGATTCGCTGCTTAAGCTCTCAAAGTTTGACAAACTTGCACAAATAGAACTATTAAATGCTAACCAATTCTGGATGTAAATAACTCACTTGAATGTAGCACAATACTCTTAAAAGCATGTTGTTGATTTTTGGTTATTTGTACAAAATGGATTTCCATAGTGATAAGACACTCAGAATGGCAATTTCCTGAAAATTCAGAATCCTGGCTGTGTAGAAATGTTTCTGCTTGCTGTTGAGATTATTTGAACCACATGATTTGAAGGGTTTTTCTTGTCCTGTGACAATCTAATGTTTCCTAGCATTAAAGAAATACTTTGATGTACAGATGTAGTGAATGGGAAGATTCTCTTGGCTCTGTGGGACCTGTTCTCCCCTCTGGGACCTTTTGAGCCACCTCAGCCTGGCTGATGTGTCACCTCTTACTCGTGAAGACATTGCTGAAGAAAAGTTTGCGCATAAGTTGCATGAAATATCAAAATATTTTAACTGTAGTGGATGTACTAGTGCTGCTTCCACATAATGTGCCTAGCCTACACTGTCATATATGACTGATCAAAAACAGAATAAAATTGCAAAAAAAACCCAGAGAATGCAAACATGTATAAATGCTTTTTTTGTCTCTATATCTGAATGTCCTCTCTTTTTTTTTAATCTGTAGATACTTATGATTTTCAGTATGACGCTGTATCCTGTGTATACAAGCCTATCTCAGTAGCTGAATGACACAGGGTAGCATTTGCAAGGAAAAACTTTCTTATGACTAAAGCACTTGATGACTGATTTCTGGCATTGTGCCAAAATTCCTGTGTGTTTTGGACACGCTTGTTAAGACTAGATTGCATACTTTTTGCAGATACCATTGAACAGTTACTCAATGAGTAGCCAACTGACTTTCCGTTTTCTTCATATTCTCCCACCCCTAACTCACGATTACAGACTGTTATTCTTCTGGAAATACCCATTTATTTTAATGAAATTTCTTTAAGAATAGTGCTATGTGCAGGTAAAGATGGTAGATCCCGTAAGACAAGAGTATATTATATTTGGGTTCTGTGTTAAATGTGTATTCTATGTTAAATATGTAAATATGTCATTTAAATATTTGGCCATTCTAAAAGAAACTAGATATATTTTAAAAATTAATAAGTTAATATGTATGATCTGTAAATAAACAGAAAATTTGACTCTGTGATTATGTCTGGGGCCATCCACGAACACTAAGCTTGGCAATTTTTGAGCCTTAGTTTTGCCATTTGCATGTCAGGTATAACAATGATTGATCTGTCTCCCATGGGCACAGTGATTTTAAAGTCATCCAGTAAAAATGGCAGATAGATTCATTACAAATCTCCTTAGTTACTGATGCAGTCCATAAATAAATCTCTTTTAGAGTAAGGATTTTGAGCACAGTTTTGCTGAGGTTTATTAAAAAAAATCTGTGTCATGTAATTCTAAGTGAAAAAATATGTGTTGAGTTGAGGTGAGACAAGGCATTGCCACACACATAACAAATATTCTGAGAAGCAGAATAGGTTACCTTTGTTTGAGGCTTACTCGTGATATTTTTCAGTATTGGTAGTGTGATAAATGAAAATAAAAGAATAACTTTCTTTTTTTTTTTAATCCTCGGAAACTGGTGGCCATTTAAGTTGAGAAATCTTAAGACTTCAAGAAAATATAATTTCTGAATTTGCAAAAACCTATGCATGTGCTTTTTTTAGTCCCATTCAGCTTGATCATGACATGCTGTTCCCTTTCATAGCAAGTGGGGCTCCAGGCTATTCTCTCATTTTCCTGTAAATGTTACTGCAAAGGGAAAAAAAGTGCAAAAAAAGTTGAAGTTGATATATTATTAGACATTTGTTGACTTTGACAATGAAAACCCAGCAGTGGCTTTTACAATCCATAAATCTAAAGCAGTTGATGTTTCTTTTCACTTTCTTTGCAATTTTGTCTTTACATTTGCACTGATTCCTTAATACTGGGTTTGAATATCTCCTGCTAAATTTCCTTCCTCTGAGAGTTTTTTTCCTTAAGGGAACCAAAATTCCACTAAGGAAGATGTAGTGTATCTGCTCATACTTTACATATGTTTCATAAATGCAGTTTAGCATCTTGAACTCTCTCAGCTCTTGTAAGGACTGTATTTATCTTTTGAGTTTTAAACATAAAATCTAGTATGTGTTTAATTTGCTTGTGTCACCTCTTGTGATACTATTTTTTTAAAAATCAAGAATGTAGTACCATTGCTTTACAAACTACTACCTGAAATCAGGGTGGTGTTCAGCTTCTATGGGATTAATTATAATGTGAAAAAAAATATTTTGTTTGTATATCCTCTAAAGCTCTTCTTAATTTTTTTTAAAGGTCTGGCCTAACTATCGAAAGTATCTTCCAAAATTGGCTTGACACTTCTGGAATACCAAAGGTAAATACAAAATCTCTCTTCTCATTTCTTTATGTAGGCTTGCATTTCATCTTACTTTACATGCTATGTAAATGATTACTTTAAGTTATAATATGTATAAAACACATTAAGTTCTAATATGTATAATATGGTTTTAGATTAATTAATTTTGGTGATGACTGTTTTTCTTATACAGTGTTTATATGGGCTTAGTTTTGATTGGTTGCAGGCTTCTACTGTCTTCTCAAAGAACCTGCTGAAGGGCAAATCTTACAAGTCTTGTCTTATTGCTTAATATTTTAGTCATTGAGAAGTAGTCTGTAATGTATAGTGTGGACAGCACTAAATTTGTGGAGCATTATACACAGATGTCATATATGAATTACTGACAGCCATGCTGACAGCCGTAACTTCACTAAATTTAAATTTGTTCAAACTTGAGTATTTTCCTGATATTGTAACATGTTCATGAATCTGCTGCATGGGTAACAGGTATCTCCTTGTAGGTTAAGCACTGTTGTAGTTGAGACTGAGCGTTATTGTTATTTTTTTAATATTAAATATTTTACATTCTGTTAACTTAAATGCTTGTTTTTCTGTGCTATGGAAAGGCCCTGATTATTGGTTTTGGTCCAAGACGGAGATGACCTGAAGAAAAGTTTTCCTGGATAAAACTTCCTAAAAAGAGCTTTATACAAAGTCTGCTTTTATTAAACATTAAAGTTCAATATATAACTGATTTCCCGTATGTTAACATCAGTTACTTAGGATTTATCTTACCTAGTGCATTATGTTTGTTTCCACTTTGTGTTAAACGTGTTCATTTAAAACTACTTCAGTATTTTTAATGTCCTTAAGGTGCTAGTTCATATAGGCAAATGTGAACTACACATATGCAGCAAGACTGGGACTCTGTGGGGTAATCACATTCATGGACAGAGCTTTCAAAATAGCTGGAGAATTCGAAGTGATGAGGAGTGGCCACCAAAGCTGAGCCACGCTCAAACGCTGCGCTTGAGTGAGCCCTTGGCTGCCTTGGAGTAGGTCTGTTGCACACATCCATTGTGCCCTACATCCTACTGGAGCTTCTTCTGGAAGCTCTGCCCTGAGAATGGAATATTCTAGGAATAATACTTGAGGAGGCTAGAAAATCAAGGTGAGGGCTTTGTTTGTTTGCTTGTTTTCTGTAAACAGAAAAAGCAAATTAGCATTAGATGGGGAAATGAAAGTAAATGTTATCATGTATCATGATGTTCTGTCATTTCTTGAAGAAAGGAGTTTGTTTTTAATACTACATTTTGATCAAATATAATTTGTAATACTCCATCTTGATCAAGCTTTTTTTCCTAAAAGAAAATTCCATAGAACAGCTGTTTTGAAGGGAGAAACTAATGTTAGATGTAAGATGCTGAACTACTCCAGCATAACTAGCAAGCAGTTTTATTATTTCCTGCAAGTATCTGTTGGGCGTACATTCAAAACATATAGTGAAAATATTTCCATACCCAACAAGCTTTTAAATCATTGTAGATGTTCTTTAATGACCTAAGAGATTTTGCTGGGAATTTGGTTGTTCTGTAAAAATAACAGTGTCAACTGGAATGGTCCTGATTTAGTATTCTTCCTTTGAGAATCAGTGTGCTGATCTCTTCTCAGTGTCCATCAGCAAGCTCTTTGATGATATACCCTCAATGCCTTCAGCACTTGTTAAGCTCACGTGGGAACTGGTCTCCATTTTACTGAAAGAAATGGAGTTGTCATTCTGTGAACTGGAAACCTTGTTCGCTTGGTGCTTCATTATTTCATTGTGGCATTGGAGAGAAAATCCTTATTGCCGAAGTCAAGACTGCAGAGGTTGCTAGGGACATTATTTTCTTACATAATCTAAAAAGGACTGTATTTACTGACTGTAGAACTACAATCTGAATCTAATAGTGTGTTGTGCAGAAACTGATAGAAATACCATTTAAAAGTCAATCTTTTTTTTTTTCAGCTAACTATTAATTTTACTAATGTGATGGATCAGGGCTGGCAAAGTCTTATGAAATACTTTGTTACATCTGTGTGAACTACCTGCATCATAACCAGCAGGCCAGGCATTCCACAAAAGTGATCTTTCCTCTCTCAGATGGGTTGGAAGCTGAGCAGACGAGGCTGGGAGGGGAGGACAGCTCCTCTCTGCCCTTCTGGGTTGGGTGAGAGGGCTGAGCCCACCAGCTGGTGTGAGCTCCGTGTGGGACAGAGTTGACTTCTACAGTCGGCTGTCTTAAGTAAAGGAGTAATGGAGCACTTCCGAGAAGAAGTTGAAGAGTCTCAGTTCCCAACCAAAGGAGAGAGCAAGAACAACCTTCACCTTACTCTGGACTTGGCAACTTTCTGCTCATCGCCCTTATTTTGCTAGAAGGAATAAAGAAGTTTGTAGCATGGGAGTGGGAGGCACTCTTGATCCTGCAATGCCTGCTCTTGAGGGGTTTGTTATCAGGACAAAATGCATCTACTAGTGTTTCAGTAGATACCTATCAAAGAGAATTTGATTGAGAATACCCACATTTTAAAACATTAATTTTACAAACTAGTATTACAAATTACAAATAGTATCTAAGTGTCTATTGCATTTAGAGATGAAACTCTTTCTAAAGAATTTGATTGAGAATACCCACATTTTAAAACATTAGTTTTACAAACTAGTATTACAAATTACAAATAGTATCTAAGTGTCTATTGCATTTAGAGATGAAACTCTTTCTAAAGAGACTTTTCTGTGTAGTGGGATAGGGAAATACATATCCAGCTGCCCGTTTGGAAAATCAGCTCAAGACATAGTTCGTTTATATCTCTACCATATGTGAGTGTTTATGTTTTATAGTGACTCTCGTTGTTACCATGGCATTTTTTTTATTTTTATGTTTTGGTGGTTTCTGCTCAGGAAATTCATGTGAGTCATTCAATATGAAGAAAACTCACTGTTCCTAACTCATTTACAGTATTATCTCCTCAAGTGTTTTTAACCATTTTCTTCTGTGGCTATATCCAAATCTATCACCTGTACACATTTGGTACTCTAAAATTTGATGACCAGGTGGTTGTATAAAAAGAGAGTTTGTAGCCCACTCCACCAGTTCATTATCCTCATGTCAGTATCTAACTTGAGGATGTTGGCTTGGCCCTTCTGCAAATGATGCATGAGGGTAGCTACTTTCCACTCCCCTGGCTGCTGAAGGAACATTGGTTAAACATCTTCATTCCCAGGGAAGGGTTAGCATTTGTATGCCTTATCGTCATCTGTCTTGGTGTCTGTGTAATGGAAGATGTTTTTCCCTGGGACCTGTTCCATTTGCCATCCCAAATCTCCACAGTCTGTGCATGGAGCCATACTGCTTTATATTTGTTTCTCCTGATAGAGGAAACTTTAATATTTGTCAGTTTCTGTTAGCATTATACTTTTGGAAAGGACTTTCTTTTTTTTCTTTTCCCTAGTCATTGAACGAGTTTCCAAGCTCATATACCGATCAAGTACCAGTCAAGAGTATCTCTATTTAAGTTAGGGAATTCATACTGATAAATAAACCAGAATTTGGTCCACTGCCTTTTAAAAAATAAAATCTACATGCCAATTAACAGTTCCAAATTCTGTGTTTTTCAAAGCTTTAAAGGTTAACATTATAAAGGAGGGTGTGTGGTAGTGACTGACCAATCCTTTCCTACAGAGAGGAATGCCACAGCACAGTGGTTTCGTTGCATGCTTGCTGCGCAAGAAGGTTTTCTCACACTGAAAACAATAAGCAACATAAGAGATGAAAAGCAAACATTTCTGAAACACAAGCTTTCAGAAGTTTCTTCCCTTTTTTTTTTTTTTTTTTTCCCCTGAGAACACATTGCAGCTGTGTTAAATAATATGCAGCATGTTGCATTGTTGGAAAAAAAAAAAACAGTTTATCAAATCAAATATCAGCAACCTTCAGAATGTACTTGCCTCTCAGAGGTGACTCACCAGGGGATTAGAGCAACTTTTCATCCTGTGTGGGGCTAGTAATGGCTTAATGCCACTAACTTTAGTCAATGAGTTAAGCTGCCAAGGAATCATAAGAACAAAACATCATTTATATCTGGAAAACACCTAAGAAATCACTTAAATCTACTTTATCCCTGCCGCTGATGACTTGTTCTCTAACACACAGCTTCTGTTGTATTTTCCAGTCTGTGTGGTTGGCTTGCCCTCATTTAACTAGAGTTAAGACTAAAAGATCATATGTTTTTAAGGAAGATTTTTCTGCTATTTTATATAGGCTTTTTTTTTTTTTTTTTATTGTCCATTTACTAATTCCTGAATGTCTTTTTTTTTCCCTAGACAATTTACTTTTGCTTTATAAACTTATAAAGCATAATTATATATATAATATAAGCATATAAACTTATTAAAGCATACTTTAAAGTATGCTTTAACACATTTCTCCACTTTCAACTCTATAATGCACTGTTTAATGAGGGTTAAACAAATAAATAATAGTCTCTGAATTGCATAAATTGCTGTATGTACTTTTTGAACATTACAGTTTCTCCACCTTTCCCTCTGTGCAGCTGCACTGTTTCATGGCAAACTATTACTGGTAAACCTGCAATCTGGAGTGTTCCATGGGGGTGCCTATGATTTGCAGCCCTGTGTTATAAAAACAATCTCCAGATTCACTTCAAGTTAAAAAAAAGAAAGATTTAGCCCACTCCTTTGTAACACATATTTTCCATCAGAACTTTCAATGAATCCTAAATACCTATGTAATCACATAGCAGCAGGCACCGGGAAAAACTCACCAAACATCCTCTCAAAATTATGGAAAAAAGCAAGAGTTGATAGGATTTTTCCCAGTCCCTTTTCCTGCCTCATCTTCTTATTAAAACTTAATTGTTCTAGACCATTCTACCTTAAATAGCACTTCCTAATTAAAATAGATACATCTGGCAGGTATGTCAGAGTAGGTACAGCTCTGAAAATGAAATGAAAATGAGCATGAAAATACCACTCC